CTTGAACCTGGGAAGAAGAGGTTGCCATGAACATGGGAAGCAGAGGTTGCTGTGAAGCGAGATCGGGTCGCTGCACTCCAGCCTGGGCTACAGGGCTACAGAGCAAAACTCTGTCTCAAAATAAAATACATATGTATATATATATATATATATATGTACACACACACGTATGTGTTATTACTAGAAGAAACTATAGAACATCTTCATCAATTTTGGATAGTCAAAGATTTTTTTGGGCAAGGTTCTAAAAGCAATACCCATAAGCACAGAAGTTAAATTTTTGCATCAAAAATTAAATTTAATTAACTTTCATAAAAATTATAAAATGCTCATCAAAGTTACTGCTAAGAAAATAAAAAGAGGGATCATGAAGTGGGATAGATTCCTTACAGCACGGACATGTGACACAAGGTTTGTGCCTGAAAGTTATACGATGCATCTCTACATCTATAAAGACAATAACCTTTAAAACAGTGAGCAAATACTTAGACACTTCACCAGAGAAAACATACAACTATGCAATAAACATTTGAAAAGCTGTTAAAACTCGTTATTTTTGAGGAATATACAATTAAAGCCATAATAATTTACCACTTCACACCCTACCCACAAGTATGGCTAAGACGTAAAGATCAGCAAAACTACATGTTAATGAACATGTGAGGTAACCAGAACCCCAACCACTTTAGAAAATGACGTGGCATTTTTTATAAAGTTAAACATATATCTTTTCTATAAGCAATAAATTATATGTCTACATATCTGCCTAATAAAATATACTTCTAGTATTTATAACTTTTACTAAAATGGACATAGAGGATATTTTCATAAATATTTCAATCCCCAAATTACCCAAATGCCCTCGGAAGGAGAATGGATCATAAATTGTGTCATATGCATACAACAGAACACTCTTAGCAATAAGCAGAAATGAAAAACTGAGCCAGACAGTGATATGTATGAATCTTTATAACTATTATGTTAAGAGACAGAAGCTGGATATACAATTATGCATATTGTGTGATTTCATTTATATGAAGTTCAGGGACGGGCAAGATTCATCTATGGTGATAAAAATCAAAATGGAGTATGAGAATCGCCTGGAATGAGCCATGAAAGAACTTTCTGTGGTGATGAAAGAAAAACGTAAAAATAATTGCTTTAACGGCTATGAAAATATGGCAAGCCAGTATTAATTAATATGTTTTTATGGCTCAGGCATAGACAAGCAAACCAACAGAAAAACTTGATAGCATTATATTTTTAAAAAAATTAAGTATACATACATATGTAGCCTATAATAGCTACAAACATTGGATAAAACCTCAAAAAATTGTCACTTCAAATCTTTTTTTACCCAAGAGCAAGCTTTTGTACTCTGACAAGTAATACCAAAAGTGTCAGTTTCTCCTTCTGAACATGTTTTCCAAATTAATTTTATAATTTTCTTCAAAAGTCATTTTTAAAATGTTTTTGTTTGGATACTTTTAATTGTACTATTTCCAACTTTGTATACTACATGACACTTTTGAAAGCTTTCTTATTTGATTTTTACTACCTTGCTGCATTCTATAAAAGCTGTCTTGTTCATCATGTGGGCCTTGCTTGCTCTCTCCAAGGGTCCCTGGGCCCTTTGAACCTTTTTCTTAGGCTTTCTCTGATGCATTTTGGATAGGTTTTTTACTTTTTCTCTGTAGTTTTATTTTTTCAGTTTTTTTTCCCACCAAACACTATCCACATTTTCTGTTTGTTATTTTCAAACCCACGTAATCACAAGTTGCATTCCTTTAGATTCCATCTTGCATTAGTAGAATGTTGACATTGTTTTACACTAATCAGTATTTCCCAGTAGTTTATCGGCAACTAAACTAGGTTTCAATTTAAGATAACACTTCTAGGTCTCAGTTTTAGATAAAACCCAGATTTTTTTTAAGCACAAAAAGCTTTGGGAGGCTGAGGTGGGTGGATCACGTGGTCAAGAGATGGAGCCCATCCTGGTCAACATGGTGAAACCTGTCTCTACTAAAAAAAAATACAAAAAATTAGCTGGGCGTGGTGGCGCATGCTTGTAGTCTGAGCTACTTGGGAGGCTGAGGCAGGAGAATTGCCTGAACCCAGGAGTCAGAGGTTGTGATGAGCCGAGATCGCGCCATTGTACTACAGCCTGGGTAACAAGAGCAAAACTCCACAAAAAAAGCACAAAAGGTCTTGCTCTAAGACATCACCACTGTATGTTAAATCTTTCCTTTAATAATCACTTTTTAGATTATCGAATTTTATCATTAACATTATAAATTTTAATTTTTCCAAAACTTTTTCAGTTTAAACTTATTCACCTTATCACATGCTTCCTAGTGATAAATTTCATAGCATTTTTATTATTTAAACTAGGAATATTAACAGTAGCCACACCTAAAAGGTACAATTAGAGGAGACAATGTTTTAAACATTTTTTCCAGTACTTCTCAAATTTTGCAAGATTTTTCAAAGACTATTTATTATTATTAGCAGAAATGTTTAAAACTAAGAAAAAACTTTTAGTATCAGAATATTATTGACGATTTTTGTAAACATCATTTATTTCGCTTTGCATAAATGCCTTCTTGAAGATGTAATTTAGGTTTATCTCAGTAACTCCAAAGTGTACACACCTAATACAAAGTGCAGGAAGTCTTGTATTTTGGTGAACGCACCAACAGAAACACCTCATGTGTGCAGATGATCTTATTTTATATACACCTTTCCATTACCCCTTAGGAGCCTGACACCTAATGCTTTTCGCAAAGGCACTTTGCTTAGCCTGGACATGGATTTATTTCAATATCCAGGAAGCTGTACAAATCTGTCTCAAACTGCATTCTATTCAAGGCACATCATGACAAATCCGGACTGGGCCTCCTCCTCTCTTCCTTCACAAAAGCACCTTTAATATCCCCTAGTCTACATTTCTGGACGTCTGAGTCACTGAGGAATGAGCTTCAAGTTTCCCTTAGAATCTGCTCAAACAACTCCTCTGCAAAGAATTCAAGAATCTGGCCTTAAGATACCCCTTTACCCCCACCCACCCCACCATGGCCCGTGGCCACAATCTGGATCACCCGCGATGTCTAGAGGATGCCTTTTCACCTGCGTGCTCTAGTTTTGCTGCCCCTTCCACACACCTTGTCCTCTGCAACCTCCTCTCCTGAGTCCCATCAGACCTTCAGGATCCTGCTTGGCACCCCCTCACCCAGGGAGCCTTCCCGGTCTCTGGGTGGCTTTCTAGCGCTTTGTCCTTCATTCACGAGACTTATCACTGCTTGGTGTCGCCCTTAGGATTTCCTCTTCTCTTCATAAGCTCCTGGGTGAGGGTACCACAGGGCGCTTCACCTATGAGTCCCTTCGGTGTGGGCCAAGGCACCTGCAGGCAGTGAGCTCTGTGACCTCACAATTCCTCCCCAGAAGTCAGCGTTTCCCAAAAGGATGATCACAGAGATGGCATCTGCCTCCCGATGACCGGAGGTTGACCCAGAGTGCAGAGCGAGGCACTCAGTCCCCGCCAGGTGGAGTGAGGGAACCAGGTGCTGTGGGGGTGACTGGGTGCCGTGTGGGTGACTGGGTGCTGTGGACGTGATCGGGTGCGGAGGATGACTGGGTGCGGTGGGGGTGATCGGGTGCGGTGAGGGGTACTGGGTGCTGTGGGGATGATCGGGTGTCCTGGTAGTGGGCAGCCCACAGCAGCAGCAGCAGTGCTAAGAGCAGCCCCAGTAGCAGCGCCATGGCCAGGTGGAATGCCTACATCGACAACCTCATGGTACGGGACCTGTCAGGACGCGGCCATCGTGGGCTGTAAGGACTCACCCTCCATCGGGGCCGCGGTCCCCAGGAAAACCTTTGATAACATCACTCCAGCTGAGGTTGGTGTCCTGGTTGGCAAAGGCCGTTCAAGTTTTTACCTAGGGGCTGACACTTGGGGGCCAGAGTGTTCGGTTATCCGGGACTCACGCTGCAGGATGGGGAATTTAGCGGGGATCTCCATACCAAGAGCACCGGTGGAGCCCCCACCTTCAAAGTCACTGTCACCAAGACTGACAAGATGCTAGTCCTGCCCATGGACAAAGAATGTGTCCACGGTGGTTTGATCACAAGAAATGTTATGAAATGACCTCCCACCTTCGCATGCCCAGTACTGACCTGGTCAGCCCCTTCCCCTTCACCACTCCCCACAGCTTTGCACCCCTTTCATCCCCATACACACATATACCATTTTATTTTTTGGGCCATTACCCCACACCCCTTATTGCTGCCAAAACCACATGGGCTGGATGGACAGACACCTCCCCCTACCCACACCCCTCCTGTGTGTGGCTAGAAAACTTTTTGGTTTTGGGTTTTTTTTTTTCTGAATAAAAAAGATTCTAACAAAATAATAATTTTTTATGTTTTATGATTATTTATTTGCAATTTTTACGCCATATACTTCCAAAATGTTGTTGATATTGGTTACAAGCAAATTTATGTACATGCACGTGGAAAAACACTGAAGGTAAAAGAGATGAGAAAGCACATAGAGGAGAGTAACAGTGTACGACGGAAGGAGTCATGAGTTAATTCGAATATCCTGACAGCCAAGGAGAAAAGGAAGCCTTACAGGTGAGGGGATTTTCATTGTCCACTGAAAGGAAGCACACTATTTCAAAGGAGTCTTTTTTCTAGCACTGCACTAGTGATACAGTAATGTATCTCATGTGTCTTTACATAAAGACATTGATCAATGAATTTTTTTCATCCAACATTTCTTTATAAAGCCAAGGACACAACATTACATTTTATTTCATGAGAAACATTGTTACAGGAAAAGCTAACATAGTTCAAGTAGATAGCTTGTGATTTAACTTGTAAAAAGAAAGAATTTAGACTAACTTATCATAACGTTCCCATGTAAGTTTTCCCTCCAGCAGCTTTCATTTCAACCATACATTTGGCAGAAGTTAATTAACTGGGGACTCCAGAACTGCCTGATGGAGAGTCAGTATTGACCTCAAATCTTTGGATTTGTTTGAAAGCCTACATAACCACTAAGTTGAGCCCCATAAAGCAAAATGTAAGTGACTGGGACTAGAAATTCTTGTCAATGAGCTTCCTTTACTATAAAAGAATCTGACAGTCGTTTGGGTAGAATGAAGATTGGCAACTCAAAAGCCCTTGGATGTCACTAAATGTATAGCGGGGCCAGGTGTGAACAATGGCAAATTGAAGATGCTTAGCCACAGGCACTGAAAACATACAAACATTCAAAAGTGTAAAAACACTGTTGCAGCCAGTCTCCTGGCAGAACGTGGTCTGCCCGCAGCCTGCAGACAGTAACTGTCTTAGAGCAGTAGTGTTTCCTGTTGAGCCGACCAGAATGAGTTCTCTACAGTATACAGCCAAGTTCCTGAATAAAAATACTATTTGAATATTGGATTCTATCAGCCAAGAATACCTGTTTTAGTTCTTTTAACAGTAGTAGGCAATCAGGGTGAAAGGCTCCTCCATATCCATGATAGGGTCCCATGTCATCAGCGTAGAGAAGTTTGTTTTTCTATTTGCTCTAACAAAAGGATATGGACTACCTTAATATAAATAATAAGAATCAGACTATTGGTTTATGTTGATAAGAAGAGTGAGTAGAACATAGCTCTCTTTTATCTCTTTTATCTGAAATGGATCAGAGCACCCCATCGTATCCATCTTGATTCTGGTAGGGCTATTATGAGAATTTACATGCACTAGAAAGGCCCAGCCATCTTGGCTTTCTTGACTTTATAATTTAGCTATGCTTTGGTGAAATTGCTGAAAGATAGCAATATTTAGAAACATAATATTTAAGGGAGATATAATCACTCTTAACCTTACTTGACGTTCAATGCAAATATTTCCAGAAAATTGACCCTGGGGAATTGATCTTCGAGTAAATATTATCTGTGCTTCAGTGTTTTGCAGAGTTGATTTTAGGTGTTCCATTCTTTCAATGCCATTAACAAATGGGTTTTTAAACATGTGACTTATTTTTAAAACTGTAAAGATTTTTCTTAAATTATATTCAAATAAGTCCTAGCCAAGTTAATATACATTAATATCTCTATACTGCCCTTAAGAAAAAGAATACATTCGTAGAAAAATACTTATTAACATAGAACATTCCTTCATTTTCACCTTTGCTTTTTTACCCAATTATTTTCAAGAGTATAGCCCAGTACTGTTGCTAGTAGCCACATATTGTCATTTCCCTCAGTACCAGAAAAGTTCCCGTGCTGGTTCTCCTGATCTGTGGAAGTCTTCCTATTTTCTTGAGCCTCAGAAACCTGTCTTCCCTGAAACCAGAAAAACAGGTTCTTCTGGGCCATCTGAATCCCCCAAAGCAGCCTCAGCTATCTGGAAGCCTGTTCTATTGATACTAAGCCTGGGAAACCCACCCTGTTTCCTGAGCCTGCCAAAACAGCCCCTCCTGCTTCCCCAGAGCCATGCAAACTTGCCCTTTTTCCAGAGCCCCAGAAGCATATCCTTTTCCCTGAACTCCCTAAATCTGCTATATTCTCAGAATCACAGAAGGCTGTTGAGCTTGGTGATGAACTACAGATGGATGCCATAGATGATCAAAAATGTGGTATTCTGGTTCAGGAAGAACTTCTAGCTTCACCTAAGAAACGCTTAGAAAATACTTGATTTCCTTTCTCAAAGAAGCTCAAGAAAGACAACCAAGAGAGCTCAGATGCTGAGCATAGTAGTAGTGAGTACATTAAAACAGATTTGGATGCAATGCATATTAAGGGCCACGAATCAAACAATGATCAAGAGCAGGTTGATGTGGAATCCACTGCTTTTAGCAAAGAGAACAAAATGGACATGACTAGTCCAGAGCAGACTAGAAATGTGCTACAGTTTACTGAAGAAAAATAAGCTTTTACCTCTGAGGAGGAGATTGCAAAATATATGAAGCGTGGAAAAGGAAAGTAGTATTGCAAAGTTTGTTGCTGACGTGCTATGAAAAAAGGTGCTGTTTTGCATCGTTTGGTTAATAGGCATAATGTTCAAAGCCCTTACAAATGCACAATTTGTGGAAAGGCTTTTCTTTTGGAATCTCTCCTTAAAAATCATGTAGCAGTCCATGGGCAAAGTTTACTTCAATGTCCATGTTGTAAATTTGAATCAAATTTCCCAAGAGGTTTTAAGAAACATTTAACCCATTGTCAAAGCCGGCATAATGAAGAGGCAAATAAAAAGCTAGTGGAAGCTCTTGAACCACCACTGGAAGAGCAGCAAATTTGATATTTCAGCACAGTGTGAATATTTGCTCTGCTAAGGTGTTTGATGAAACCATTCTTTGTAAGTATAGCTTATCAAGTAGACTAGTTGGGTCAGTAGACGACATGTATAGTGTATCGTGTTTCACTGTCTCAGTTGTGTTGCTAAGAATGAGCATTTGATTATTTTTCCTGGTCTCTGTCTATGTGGCTATCTTGTAAATCAGTATATTTCCATATATTCCAGGTGGATTAAACTTCTCATTTCTTTTAAGTATATCTAAATAATAATACAAGGAAGTAGGCATTCCATTTAATAATCAAGAGCAAGGTGTACTCAAAGCATTCAGTTAAAGTGTATCTGTGTGTGGAACTAATTTCAGACAATAGAAACTATTAGTTCAAATGTTTAAGAATTAGGCATAAAAAATAAATTTGAGAAATTTTGTTTCCTTACATGCATTTTTAAACCATAAGGGTTATTTTTTATCTGACATAAAATTAGTTTATAAATCTTTTTTTTTTTTTTTTGAGACGGAGTTTCGCTCTTGTTACCCAGGCTGGAGTGCAATGGCGCGATCTCGGCTCACCGCAACCTCCGCCTCCTGGGTTCAGGCAATTCTCCTGCCTCAGCCTCCTGAGTAGCTGGGATTACAGGCACGCGCCACCACGCCCAGCTAATTTTTTGTATTTTTTTAGTAGAGACGGGGTTTCACCATGTTGACCGGGATGGTCTCGATCTGTTGACCTCGTAATCCACCCTCCTCAGCCTCCCAAAGTGCTGGGATTACAGGCGTGAGCCACCGCGCCCAGCCTAGTTTATAAATCTTAATCAGTTACTAGATGTGTATTAAGTGTTATTCCATGAAAAGTTGGAGTCTCAGGGTTTCTGATTTTCTGCTAACGGGAAAAATTGATTAAGTATTTAAAATAGTTTGCCGCCTTCTCCCGCAGGAGACAAGACAAAGGTAAGTGTGATTTTAGGTCTTTCTTGTCCATTTTTGTTTTCAGTGGAGTCTTCCATTCTGTCACTTCTTCTAAGATCTGGTTCTTCCCTCCCCCCTGCCCCCACCCAACACCCACCAGTTCACACTAATAGATGATTCTTAATTGCCAAATGAGTTAGACCTTGTATATCCTACTCCTGGGCCCTACAGGTTGCCTGTGGGGTCTTAAGACCAGGTTCAGAAGTAGGAACTGAAAGTCTTTCAGATTCACAGTAGAAAATTTTATAGACATTTCTGTTAAAGAAATATATCAATTTTATGTATTTCAGTTCTGTTACTGTAAATACCGTGTTCATGTAAATACCTAAATATCTGTTCACGGATTATTTTATACTATTTTGTCAAATGCATATCAACCAAATTAAAAAGAAAGGCTTTCATGTCAAAAAAAAAAGGACTTTTTGTCATCTACATTAGTTATTTCTCTTAATGCTATCTCTCCCCTAGCCCCCCACCCCGAGACAGGTTCCAGTGTGTGACCATCCCCTTCCTGTGACCATGTGTTCTCCTAACTCCCACTTATGAGTGAGAACATGCAGTGTTTGGTTTTCAGCCCTTGTGTTAGTTTGCTGAGAATGATGATTTCTAGCTTCAAAAGACATGAACTCATCCTTTTTTATGGCTGCATAGTATCCCATGGTGTACATGTGCCACATTTTCTTTATTCATTCTATCATTGATGGGCATTTGGGTTGGTTCCAAGTCTTTGCTCTTGTGAACAGTGCCATAATAAACATCCGTGTGCATGTGGCTTTATCCTAGAATGATGGATAATCCTTTGGGTATATACCCAGTAATGGGATGGCTGAGTCAAATGGTATTTCTAATTCTAGATCCTTGAGGAGTCACCACACTGTCTTCCACAATTGGTTGAACTAATTTATACTCTCACCAACAGTGTAAAAGCGTTCCTATTTCTCCACATCCTCTCCAGCATCTGTCATTTCCTGACTTTTTAATGATCGTCATTGTAACTGACATGAGATGGTATCTCAGTGTTTTTGATTTGCATTCTGTTCATATGTTTGTTGGCTACATAAATGTCTTCTTTTAAGAAGTGTCTGTTCACATCCTTTGCCCACTTTTTGATGGGGCTGTTTGTCTTTTTCTTGTAAAATTGTTTAAGTGTTTTGTAGATTCTGAATATTTGCCCTTTGCAGATGGATAGATTGCAAAACTTTTCTCCCATTTTGTAGGTTGCCTGCTCACTCTGATGATAGTTTCTTTGCTGTGCAGAAGCTCTTTAGTTTAATTAGATCCTATTTGTCAATGTTGGCTTTTGTTGCCATTGCTTTTGGTGTTTTAGTCATGAAGCTTTGTCCATGCCTATGTCCTGAATGGTATTGCTTAGGTTTTATTCTAGGGTTTTTACGATTTTAGGTCTTACATTTAGGTCTTTAATCCATCTTGAGTTAATTTTTGTATAAAGCATAAGGAAGGGATCCAGTTTCTGCTTTCTGCATATGGCTAGCCAGTTTTCCCAACACTATTTATTAAATAGGGAATCTTCTCCCCATTGCTTGTTTTTGTCAGGTTTGTCAAAGATCAGATGGTTGTAAATGTGTGGCGTTATTTCTGAGGCCTCTGTTCTGTTCCGTTGGTCTATATATGGGTTTTGGTACTTGTACCAAGCTGTTTTAGTTACTGTAGCCTTGTAGTATAGTTCAAAGTCAGGTAGCATGATGCCTCCCACTTTGCTCTTTTTGCTTAGGATTGTCTTGGCTATGCGGGCTCCTTTTTTGGTCACATATGAAATCTAAAGTAGTTTTTCCCAAATCTGTGAAGAAAGTCAATGGTTGCTTGATGGGGACAGCACTGAATCTATAAATTACTTTGGGTAGTGTGGCCATTTTCATGATATTGATTCTTCCTATCCATGAGCATGGAATGATTTTCCATTTGTTTGTGTCCTCTCTTATTTCCTTGAGCAGTGGTTTGTATTTCTCCTTGAAGACATCCTTCGCATCCCTTGTGTTATTCCTAGGTATTTTATTCTCTTTGTAGCAATTGTGAATGGGAGTTTATTCATGATTTGGCTCTCTGTTTGTCTGTTATTGGTGTGTAGGAATGCTTGTGATTTTGGCACATTGATTTTGTATCCTGAAACTTTGCTGAAGTTACTCATCGGCCTAAGGAGATTTTGGGCTGAGTCGATAGGGTTTTCTAAATATACAGCCATGTCATCTGCAAACAGAAACAATTTGACTTCCTCTTTTCCTAATCAAATACCTTCTATTTTTTTCTCTTGCCTGATTGCCCTGGCCAGAACTTCCAATTGTATGTGGAATAGGAGTGTTAAGAAAGGGCATTTCTGTCTTGTGCCGGTTTTCAAAGGGAATGCTTCCAGTTTTTGCCCATTCAATATAATATTGGCTGTGGGTTTGTCATACATAGCTCTTATTATTTTGAGATATGTTCCATCAATACCTAGTTTATTGAGAGTTTTTAGCAGGAAGCGCTGTTGAATTTTGTCATAGGCCTTTTCTGCATCTATTGAGATAATCATGTGGCTTCTTGTCATTGGTTCTGTTTCTGTGATGGATTACGTTTATTGATTTGTGTATGTTGAACCAGCCTTGCACAGGGATGAAGCCAACTTGATCATGGTGGATAAGTTTTTTGATGTGATGTTGTATTCAGTTTGCCAGTATTTTACTGAGGATTTTTACATCAACATTCATCAGGTATATTGGCCTGAACTTTCCTTTTTTTGTTGTGTCTCTGCCAGGTTTTGTCAGGATGATGCTGGCCTCATGAGTTAGGAAGGACTTCTTCTTTTTCTATTGGTTGGAATAGTTTCAGAAGGAATAGTGTCAGCTCCTCTTTGCACCTTGGTAGAATTCAGCTGTGAATCCATCTGGTCCTGGACTTTTTTTGATTGGTAGGCTATTAATTACTGCCTGTATTTCAGAACTTGTTATTGGTCTATTCAGGGATTTGACTTTTTCCTGGTTTAGTCTTGGGAGGATGTATGTGTCCAGGAATTCATCCATTTCTTCTAGATTTTCTAGTTTATTTATGTAGAGGTATTTACAGTATTTTCTGATGGTAGTTTGTATTTCGGTATTGGTGGTGATATCCTTTTTATCATTTTTTATTGTGTCTATTTAATTCTTCTCTCTTTTCTTCCTCATTAGTCTGGCTAGCGATCTATCTATTGTGTTGATCTTTTCAAAAAAAAACCAGCTCCTGGACATTGATTTTTTTTTTTTAAGGATTTTTCATGCCTCTATCTCCTTCAGTTCTGCTCTGGTCTTAGTTATTTCTTGTCTTCTGCTAGCTCTTGAATTTGTTTGCTCTTGCTTCTCTAATTCTCTTAATTGTGACATTAAGGTGTTGATTTTCCACCTTTCCTGCTTTCTCTGTGGAGCATTTAGTGCTATAAATTTCCCTCTACACACTGCTTTAAATGTGTCTAAGAGATTCTGGTCTTTGTTCTCATTGGTGTCAAAGAAGATCTTTATTTCTGCCTTCATTTGGTTATTTACCCAGTAGTCATTCAGGAGCAGGTTGTTCAGTTTCCATGTAGATGTGTGGATTTGAGTGTGTTTCTTAATCCTGAGTTCTAATTTGATTGCACTGTGGTCTGAGAGATTGTTATCATTTCCATTCTTTTGCATTTGCTGAGGAGTGCTTTTCTTCCAATTATGTGGTCAGTTTTAGACTAAGTGTGATGTGGTGTTGAGAAGAACATATATTCTGTTGATCTGGGGTGGAGAGTTCCATAGATGTATATTACATCCTCCTGGTCCAGAGCTGAGTTCAAGTCCTGAATATCCTTGTTAATTTTCCTGTCTCATTGATCTAATATTGACAGTGGGGTGTCAAAGTCTCCCACAATTATTGTGTGGAAGTCTCAATCTCCTTACAGGTCTCTAAGGACTTGCTTTATGAATCTGAGTTCTCCTGTATTGGGTGCATATATATTTAGGATAGTTAGCTCTTCTTGTTGCATTGATCCATTTACCGTTATGTAATGCCCTGTTTCTTTTGATCTTTGCTGGTTTAAAGTCTGTTTTATCAGTGACTAGGATGGTAACCCCTGCTTTTGTTTGTTTGTTTGTTTACACTTGCTTAGTAAATCTTCCTCCATGCCTTTATTTTGAGCCTATGTGTGTCTTTGCACACGAGATGGGTCTCCTGAATACAGTACACTGATGGGTCTTTATTCAATTAGTCAATCTGTGTTTTTTAATTGAGGCATTTAGCCCATTTATATTTAAGGTTAATATTGTTATGTGTGGATTTCATCTTGTCATTATGATGCTCGCTGGTTATTTTGCCCATTAATTGATGTAGTTTCTTCATAGTGTCAATGGTCTTTACAATTTGGTCGCTTTTGCAGTGGCTGGTACAAGCTGTTCCTTTCCATGTTTAGTGCTTCCTTCAGGAGCTCTTGAAAGGCAGATCTGATGGTGACAAAATCTCCCAGCATTTGCTTCTCTGTAAAGAATATTATTTATCCTTTGCTTATGAGGCTTAGTTTGACTGTATATAAAATTCTGGGTTGAAAATTCTTTTCT